GCGGCGGCGGCCTCGATGAGTGGGGTCTATGTGCGGGGCTGGGGTCGGGCCTGGGGGGCAGGAATGGGGCAGAGTCGCTTCCCGCCGGCCGGGACCCCCCAGTGCCACCCCCTGCCCCGGGCAGGGACACCTCCCACCAGAGCAGGTTGCTCAAAGCCCCCTCCAACCTCCCCTTGAACCCCTCCAGGGATGGGGCAGCCACAGCTTCTCGGGGCAACCTGGGCCAGGCTCTCCTCACTCTCACAGCAGACAAGTTCTTCCTAAATCTAACTTAAATCTCCCCATTTTTCAGCTTAAAACCCTTCCCCCTCCTCCTCACTCTCACAGCAGACAAGTTCTTCCTAAATCTAACTTAAATCTCCCCATTTTTCAGCTTAAAACCCTTCCCCCTCCTCCTAGGGCTCCCCTCCCTGATCCAGAGTCCCTCCCCATCTCTCCCGGAGCCTGTCTAGGGCCTGGAAGGGGCTCCAAGGTCTCCCCGGAGCCTTCTCTTCTCCAGGCTGAACCCCCCAACTCTCTCAGTTTATCCCCACAGCAGAGGGGCTCCAGCCCTCCCCCCATCTCAGGGTCCCCCCTCCATGCCCTCTCCAGCAGGTCCCTGTGCCCATGTTGGTTGCCCAAGGGCAGCCCCAGGGGGTCCGTACCCGGCGCTGCACAAAGACGACACAAACCACTCGGTGATTGTTTTGTGGGATTTTTAATGGAGAGACATCACCCCCCCGCCCCGCGTCCCCCTTAGGGTGCAGCAACCAACCCCGTGGGGTGACGTCCCGTGGCCACAGCCGGGGGGGGTGGGCTATGGCACTGTGGGACCCCGGGGGGGGTCAGTCCGTGTCCCCCAGCTCCAGCGGCTCCTCCCGGCGCTGCCCTGTGCCCGGTGGCCGCGGGGGCGGGAGCTGGTCCCAGCAGAGGCCGAGCGCAGGCGGCTGCGGCTCCTGCCGCTCCTGCAGCTCCTTGGCGCTGGCCGCCGGCGTCTGCACCTCGAAGGTCATCTCGAAGCGGCTGTAGTCCACGTGGAAGGCCCCCTTCTCCAGGGACATGCAGGGCTCAAAGCGGTACCCCCACAGGATCTCGTCCTCCGTGTAGGAGGTGCGGGCTTGGCACGTCATCCCTGCCCCGGGACATGGGCTGAGTGCGGCCAGGGACAACGGGGGGGCACGGGGACAATGGGGGGCTCCTGGGCACAGGGGCACCATCACTGGTTTCAGCCCTGGCCATCTCTTGCCAGGATGCTGGTCCCTGAGCCCAGCTGCACCCCACAGTGGCCACCTCTCCCCTTCCTGGGACCCCATGGTGGCC